AAACGGCCACTGCGCCTTGTTGACTTGCTGAATGTCGCAATATTTCTCTTTTTTTTGTTAAATTAAATTAATTATTAAGTAGTTACTCTTGTTTCGATCAGAGATTGTTTTTCATTGGACGCTCAATGTCATTCCGTCGATGTACACATTAATTTTTGATATATTCATGCATCGTTATTTCCGACTGACAGCATTTGCTTTGATTTTCAATGGTAATTCGGAGAGCGGATCGAAAAGTGGACATTGGTCATTTCAGCTGAGAAAGAAGAAGAGACAAAGGAAGGTGAGATGAAATGTGTGGGATCTCTTGAACCTGTTCCATCACTTTTCATGAGCATCATATCAAGAGAGACAGATGAACAGGAAAGCCCAAGGAGATTCAGCCTCCCAGAAGAGAAGAAAAAAGAGAGGAAGCTTATCATCATTCAATCATAAATTCTGTGAGTGCCAGTGAACGTGAGTGACCCTGTTCGGCTACTGGTTTTGGTCAGCTGCTCAATTCGAAAATCATAATGTGGAATCCGGTTGTTACAATTGAAGTCCATCACTGCGGTGTTTTTCATATTTCTGATTTATTTTGAGGATTGACGAAATAATTTTCGCTTATTTTTGCTTATCTTGTCTCTTCGATCTGTTCCTTTCACAATTCTTTATGAACCATTGATGTGCTTCACACTATTTCACAGTTATATATGAAACTTTATTCTCATTAACATCTGAGCTGATTGATGTCTATATCTGGCTTTGAAACACCACCATCTTCTGATATCGAGTAGGTGAACTAGTTTCAAACTTCTATTCACTTAACAAAGCTAATTTTGTAGATCTGATCGCTGAAGTTACCGATCACTCGATCAAAATAACAACAACAACAATGTTATCAAAGAAAATTTTGAGCATTTTAACTTTCGTCGTTTTGACTTTGTTCTCATTAACGATCGCGCATAAACGTAAGTATTGCGTGATTTCAATAATTTTCAAACTTCTTATAGTTTGCATGCATAATAGCCACTATTTTTTGATATTATGAAAGATAACATCTGTCATCTCATTATTAAATACAATATTATTGGTGAGTGTTGATCACAACCCTGAAGTACACAGTATCAATGTTGTCGTTACAGAGTTCCGAAAGTTAATTTGCTTAACGAAGGATCAATCGTTCCGGAGCGGTAATGAAACGTCAAAGTGTCATTTGGTGTTGAAGAATGTCGAAGAAGAAGAACCAGGGCGTTCTGCTCCACAAGGAGCCGGATGCTTTGCGGTGAGTATGAAATTATTCGCTTTTCGCTTATTTGTGCCCTTCTCTTCTACATTATATGTGTACGTTCATTCCACTCTTCTTATGCTTCTAAATAATTCGTTCACGAAATCATAAAATTCCAATAGATGTTTGTCATCTTTCCAAGAAAATATTTCGGGAACGTTGCAATGCTAACAGTGTAAATACTATACTTTATGAATTCTCAAAATACCAGTTCAATGAATGATTCAAATCAAAACGTAAGCAAGAACATATGGGAAATGCAACATCTTTGCTACATACTCGGATAAAATGCATGCTAATAGTCAAAACCAAGGGATTGTTTGAAAGCTAAGGAACCGTATCGTAGCAAGTTATGACAAAGATTCAAATATTATAAAAGAAGGTGATTGAAAAAGCAGAGAGGTCAGAGTCAGTATCATCATAATCCATTTATACCAATCAATCAGTTAGATGGCCAAGATTGGCTTTATAACCCCATATTAACACTACATTCATATTCATAACTAACTCAATTGTATTTATAACTAAGTTCTTTCTAATTCATAACTAATTCTAATTCATAATTCATAACTAATGCATTCATAACTAATTGTCAATAAATCATATTTAATATATCGTTCTTCTAACACAGGAACAACAAAATACTTCCTCCAGTACACGCGTCTACTGTGATATATTTTGCCCAAATGCACACACCGTAAGTTTATGTTTCGTATTTGATGTGTCTTGATGAAAACTCTTGTTTGCGGGCGACAGTCCTGCGCAGTTCGATCGGTTTGCAAACAACGCTTTTTATTTTGAACAGCTATTTGACTCTCAGAAATTTAGTCTCAAGTAGTGTGACAGTGAAAATAAAGTGAATTCATGTGTAAGAATTTCAGAGCTGAATCAACAAATCAAGTGCGGGTTTAACGAATTAATTTCAGGTTTTTCATTCAGCATTCGACCTCTTCCATCGTTCCTGTTTCAACTATCACAACTATCAATTGGTTCAACGTAAAGAAAATTGGTTTCTATCAATCATTCTGCTTTTTGTCTCTTTCTATTCTTAAATTTAATGGCCAAAAACTGATTGGTTTTACCGAACCGGCGCGCTGTTATTTTCATTATTAGTCGACAGATCCATCGCCTGGTTATGGATGATAATCGAAACTTCCTATTCTTGATCTTCTTTAAAAAAAGCATCCTTTTCAGGTATTTATGGCGATCAGATCGATGCCTCAACTCAACCGCTAACTTTTCATTCGGATGTAAATTTGACAAACCGTTCCGGAAAAGTTTTCCAAGCGATGCAGATATCTTCAGACGGCTAGCCCGTCGTCGCAGTTGAACGAACCAAACCAAAGAATCCGATGAAGCAGTTATTCAGAAAGAAATTGTCACAAGTTTTTGGAGTGTTATCTTCTGTTGCATTATTTTAATTAATTATGCATTATAGAAAGCAATCATCATCTTATGTTCAGTTGATCGAGATTTAGAGTGATCTCATTTTACTCGTTGTTCATCTGCATATGTGCTGACGAAGCTTCTATATAATCTTTCATTTCGTTGTCTCGGTTGTCTGCATAAATGAATTAGAATTTGCTCGAAGATAAATTAAACTTTAATGCATTCATAACCTGGCTGACACCTGTTATTGAGACATGATGTTTTATACGTGCTTCATTCATATTGCCTAAGAACATGGGGTTAGATCTTGATCCGTTTTGAAAAAACAAATCAGATGTTAGAAGTTGTTTGAAAATCTTATAATGCATCGCTCTTGTTGATATCCATCTTAGAATAGAACCATATAACCATGTAGACACATAGTCATATTGCAGTAATACATTGTCTCATTATAATTCACCATAGAGCCATATATCCACATATTAATCATATATTAACCATCATAATTCGGTGTTTTAGATAACCGTGTATTGATATATTATTAACCATTAACCATATTGATATATTATTAACCACATTAACCACATCAATATTGAAGGAGCAGTAATACTCACCGATTTCGTCGAACTGAAATTAACTTATCCTATGAAAACTAACCCTTTTATACGTTTTCCCTCGGGCGTATTCCCACTTCGGAAATATTTAAATTCGGTTGCGCCAAACGAAATCTTTCAAAATTCCCACCAGTTGAATGTGTTGATCTATTGAAGAGTTATTTGTCAATGCATGGAAACTAATGTGATGATGATGATCAAAACTTATTGGTGATAATGACCGTGATAAAAACGAACGAAATGAGCGATTTTGGGAACGGTGCAAATTTGATAGGGAGAGCGGGATCAGCGTCATATTCGCATCTAACATTGATAGCTGCAGATCAATTTGAGTGCTTCCATTTGCTCGAACCCTTCGAGGGTTTGATGGTGCTTCGAGCACGTCAATTGTCCATCTGTGGTTCTTCTCTCTGTCACAAGCACATTCCCTCATGTGTCTGTTACGTGCTCCGTTCTATTTCTGGATGATGACGGACAAGTGCACAAAATGGTG